ATACACACACACACACTTTTACAGTATAAATTGTCTTTCTAATTTTAATTATTTTTTCTAAATTCTCGCAATTTAATTTTCAGTGGACAAAATTTAAATGGCAACTGTATTCTGCAACTGTTACTGTAAAGAGTAATTTCTACCTGATTTAACGCATATAAATGAGTTTAGTTTATATAAATGAATGTATGTAGATTGATTTAATTTTTGTTAGAAAATTGAATCAAAATTGTTAGAGCCTATTGTAAAGCCACACCAATTAAAATTTAAATTATTATTATATTTTTTCATCGATGATGTAATATATTTCTGACCTGAATCAAACCAGTTAGTTTAGATGTTACCATTTTTATGTTAGCATTTTTCATGGTATAGGCAAAAAATATTTTGTTTTGTTCTCTCTCCGCATTCGTCACTAATCACGCAACACCGACGTGCTGCGTCATCCGCCGGAACTGCTTCAGTGGATGACAGTCAGCAGAAGTGAGAGAAAAGTGTTTATTACGTTTGAAATATGGATATTTTTCTTACAAAAACGCATGGATTCACTACAGAAGGCCTTTATTCACCCCCCGGAGCCGTCTGCGGCACATTTTATTATGAATGCGCGAGCTTTATTTGACGACTTGTGGACTGTTCAACTGCAACACCCGCTGACTGCAATGATAGAGCTTGGAATAGCCAGGACAATTTTTTATATAACTCTGATTGGATTCATCTGAAAGAAGAAAGTCATATACACCTAGGATGCTTCGAGGGTGAGTAAAACACAAGCCAATTTTCATTTTTGGGTGAACTTACCCTTTAATATATAAATAAAATACTGTATATAAAACATATCTGGATTTTCCGAGACAGACCTATTGCATATAAGCTGATGAATAATTGCCTCATGCATTATATCCAAAAATCATGTAGAAAGTAATCTTGATATTTGGAGTTTGATTAATGTAATATTGGCTTTAAACAAGACTGCTATGCAAAAAAAGACAATTTTTTCCTCTACAATTGTAAATTATTTAAACAATATTTTAAAAATTGTTAAAGCCTATTGTAAAGCCACACCAATTAAAATTGTTATTATTATTATATTTTTACATACTATTTTTACATTACAGAATGGCCAATTATTCCAAATAATTCCTTATAGCACTTTTCGGTTTCAAACAAGAATTTCCATTTCTGTGAATCAGTATAAGATAATGTACATATTTTGCTTTCAAGTATTTTTGTGAATTTAGTTTTCATTAATTTCATCAATAAGTCTTAATTTAAGTACATATTGTGTATCTATATTATATCAGCCGACCATAGCAAAGGGCTATAATCATGTCTTGCATTACAATTTAATATGCATAAATTTGTTAGTCCGAGTCTGAAATGTTACTAGTCTCTTCACGAATGCAATAAACACACATTGCTAATGACAACATAGAGCATGCATGTGTGTGTTTTTGTTCTACTCTATCGGTCCGGCTACAGCATCCAGCCTGCCGCCTTGCTCCATTGGACTACGTGTTGCCATGCCAACCTGGAAGAGTCAATCACGACTTCACTGCAACACATTATGTAACAGAAACATCTCATTTCTGCCTAACTCTGCCCGGTAACATCCACATTGTCAATCAGCATCTGCTTTCCAGCCCTGCCAATCTCACGGCCACATAAATCCAGTCCACTCGATTTTTCGATATATCGTTTTTTTTAAATGTGGTCGATTCAATATCGATTCTCAAAGGCCACGAATCGATTTTTTTCAATATTTATTTCCGCAAACATTGAACATAAGATTTACGTTAATCTTATTACTAGTCTAATCCACTAGATGTCACTAGATGTCTAATCCACTTTATTTGCCTTGCGCGATGTTACAACGGAGAGTCCGTATTAATTAACCATTTGTAATCTTATGTTCACTGTTCATTTTTTATAAATATAGGATTTGTATTAAATCTATATTCATTCATATAGTCAAATCGAATCGAGAATTGAAATCAAAAATCGAATCGAAATCGAATAGAAAATCGGATCGAATTGAGAGCTTGAAAATCGAAATCGAATCGAATTGGAACATCTGAATCGATACCCAGCCCTATGACCACTTGTCTCTAAAGTAATGCTGCTTGCTGCCAGAATCATTCATATAGGACCTGTAGTGAAACCCTGGTGAACAGCATAACATAGTGGATTAAAATCTACCTAAGATACAGCAACTGGCTTTAAAAGGGCAAGACCAGGCGAGATCTAGTTTACATTCATTCTATGTGCATAAAGAAAAACATCAGGCATCAGATGGAAGGGGATATGGCTCCATCAATGATTATTTTGCAGTCATTTGCAGCGCATAAAAGTTTATACAGCTCAGCAGCATTGTGATTATTATAAAGAGTCAAATGAAATGAGTTCAGACTCTGGCTGGTCTTTAGAGAAGATACTCTATCACAGATTCTGCAAGGCCAAGGGTTAATAAACCTGTACTGAACACAAAAGGAGATATAAACTGGTGCTTATAAAAGCTTCACAAAAGCATCATAAATTCACAAACGACACAAAAGCATTATAAATTTGTTCATATGACTCATGCACTACATTCCAAGTCTTTTGACGTCATTCTCTGTGTCGCAAATTTAGGTTGTTATTCACTGAAAATATTGGTATCCACCCTTGCAATTAAAGTTTATGAGAGAAGAAGTGAATGATTCATTCACTAAATGACCTAATCCAGTTGTCAAATTCAATTCACCGATTCAATGATTAGTTTGCAGACATTTACATCTCATTGGAGCAGAAGATTATCAGGGAACAAGAGATCAAATATTGATTTGCTTATTACACAAAGATACTGTTTGACTTCTGAAAACTTGTAATATACTCATATGGACCATAGCTATGGTTGTTTTGCATCTTTTTTTTTTGTCTTAATTCATTGTAATCTGGGCTGTCGGTTGTAGGCTTGAATCCTGCAAACGGAAATCAATGAGCCATTACCACTGGGCATCACTGAGGTTTGTTCAGAAGAATCTAATATGCTAAACAACTACTTGCTTATTTGCTACCCAAATGAGCAGCTCTGTAAAGAAAAACATGTTCGGTAAACATCTGACTTAAGTGAGAATAGTACAGATCTTCTCTCCATCAATTAGATGGATCTCATCAAAGTTTCCTCCTGCACATGACCAGCCAATCACAGATTCCTGTCCAACAGAAGGAGTGTGTCCGATCGATCTGCATCAATCTGTCTTCTCCAGTTAGTAGACAAGCTATTCGATCATTCTGTCGAGAGGGAGGTGTGAAGAAGAGAGAGAGAGAGATGCTGGATATCCTCCATCTTTTTTAACATTACCTTCTCTATTCCTTCCCTTTCCAGGACGGCACGTGCACAGATCGTAATCTATCAATCAAAACTGTCCATCAAACTTGTATGGGAAAATTCCAGTTGAAACTAAATCAGAAACTTTCACTTTAAATGAAATGGTTAAGTGACCCAAAATGCATTAAAACTGTCAACTGACAAATGTTTATTTGAGAGAGTATTCCTCTAGTACTATATGTCAAATTACCATAGTTAAGGTAATTATTTCTGTGTAAATTCTGTGTAAATTAAGGCTGCTCTGACCTACCTCATACCCCAGTATCAAAACATACAGTTGTATTTGAATCTGTGTAAATGCATTTGTCTACAGTCTGTAAAGACACCTATTGCCACTTCAGAAGCGCTTCTGTGTCTCCTTTGCAGCAATGTGGATTAAGAGAAGGTAAAGACGATAAAGATAAGATAAACCATCTTACCTTCACAAACAAACCCGACAATCCCCCATATGAAGTCGCCGCAGTGATGACAGAAGGTCGGCTTGGTCAGGGTCACTTTCCGAAAGCAGTGTCCGGGAGCGTTAACCGAGTACCGCGCCTTTGAGCCGGGCGACTGCTGCGCCTTTTTCCTCCCGGGTCCGGGGCTCGAGCTCGGGCTGTCGTGCTTCACCCGACCGCTGTCTGCCATCTCTGTCACTTCCAATGTAAATCCAGTGCAAAACGCCGAGATAAAAGGCTCCACTAGATTGGTTGTTGTGGAAGTCACATACGTGATTTAGCAGTTATGTTAAACCCAATCGAGTCATCGCTGAATAAAGTGAATGTTTCTATTCTCCCGCTACAGCGTGTCAACAAGAGTCGGAAACGCGCCGTCTGGCTACAATGTTTTAATGTAACAGAATGTCTGAACGTTCCAATCAAAGCGCGCGTGTTAGCTACTGTGAGAGCTTCACTATCTGACCATCTAACCAAACATCAAACTCAATAAATATGCCAGTCTGCCTTTACCGACGAAAACCAGCAGTCTGCGAATGCAGGAAGGGAAAATAAAGCAACCGCGTCCACATATATGATGCGCTGATGTTAAAATCGTCACAAACGCCTGCTGTTTATCATTTACGCTGCTTTTCACTTTCTCACCACAGTAGATTTTAACCAACACAAGCGTCTGTAACTTCCGCCTGTAGTAGTGCTCCGGCCAGAGAGAGAAACGCACATACACACGAGCTTCACAGCAGGAGCCTCAGCTATGGCAAGCCGTTTTAATATGTATTCCAATGGAATAACGTTATCTATGTTACTAGCACTTGCTTTTAAAGTTAGCCTACTCTTATACAATACAGTAGTGACTACTTTTAAATGTCACTTTATTCATTAGATACTAGTATTTACTCCAGTAGTTACTATTCAAATATTTGCTAGTCATTTTCCTTTACATCGGAGTCCGTTCGTAGTCAGTATCCCCAACACACTCTGAAGGAAATTCATAACCATTTTACATTTTGATGAATTGGTAGCTAATTCATTGATCTGTTTACACCCCACTGACGGTTAGATTTAGGGGTGGTTTTTCATGCTTACATTTTTTTCCCCTAAAAATCACACATTTAAATGCGAATCACTTATGAATTCATATTAAATCATTTTCTCATGAGATTTGGTTAGACAAGTTGACACTAGTTGCCGAAAGTCAAAGTCAGTCTGCAGATTTGAGTTAACAGGGTCGTAGAGTATGCCGTTAGGGATCAAGGGAGGTGATAGGAAGGCATAGGCATTAACCAGGATAATCCAAAGAGCGTGTTTTTATTAGTCCAAGTAACAAGAATTGGGGGTGTCATTTACAAGTATGTGAGTATGATTAAAGAAAAATAATAATAATAAATGAGCAGAAAAAAAATTACAAACGCTTTACACAGTGTACACTTGTTCTATCTTACAAAGAACAAAGTAAATTTGCTTAGACAGCATAAACATAACATTCAGCTTAACTCACTGACCCCTCTCTCCCCAAAGGCTGAGAAAGGTCTGGCTTAAATATTCTAACTTCCCGCCAGAATAGGAACTGGACTAAACCAACTCTGTAGCCAGATAGCATAAAGAGAAAGGAAAGGAAAAAAAAAAAACATTAGTCTCCTGTTTAAAGAAGAACAGAACATCTACTGAAACAGAAAATAATCAAACATAAAAAATGCAATTAATAAGTATAACAGTTAGAAATGTTTTCTTATTCAGTACATTTATCAAAAGAAAACACCTGAAAAAAAAATTGGTTACTTCCAGCCCTTTAAATGTGCAACCTTGAAAGTGCCCACCCCCTTGGGAAACCCCCGATCCAACCCGGAAGTGCACGCCAGCATCCAAGCCATGGTAGACGACAAAGGAGGTCGTCTTTACTCATCACACTTACCAATAAACAGTGTAGTAACAAAACAAATGGGTCATGTCCTTATTTAATGAAAACTGAATTGGCAAATGAAGCGTGTTGTGATGTTTGTTGATATGTGCACCTATCACCGAACATACCTCACAGCGTCTTCATTCCCCAGTTAATGCCATCTTACCAAAACAACATGACAAATGACAAAAGCAATTACACTTCTGAAATATAAACAGCGTTAATCGTTCGAGTGTGGAAAAAACAGATGTAAATCATATAATAACTGTATATCACACAGACCAGATTTTTAGAACACATATTGTTTTTATTTGTCAATCATCTCCTAGCAACAAGGTGCACGTTTCTAAAGGAGATTGTTGTGATCGGAACGACTTCAAAGTCTGCTAGTGTATCATCCTCGTCGTGTAGTGTATGACGGACAGTTTTCCTCTGTCACTATTTACAAAGTCGGCAAGTGTATGATGCCTAGTGTTTTAAAAGTCTGTTCAGATTTTAAAAATAATGTAGTGCATTCCAGCCTTTAGGCATTAAATTGTATCTGAGCTATCAGCGATTTATTGTGTATTCTAGTTGTAGGAACACATGAAGTATATGTCAGAAGGCAATAGCTATACAGGTATATCTAATATCTACACCACAAATACCAATAAAATTCAATAGGAAACTTTTGCAATTTGTTACCAGTAACAATGGAACACTATGGGAGAGTAACTGCTATCAAATGAATAAGCAAATGAATATATGCTAGTATCTACAAAATAGATTAAAAAATAATAATTAAAAAAAGATACTAGTCACTATTGGATTTCTTAATAGAAGTAAACAAAAAAATGAATGAATGAATCCTAATATATCCTAATCTACTTAATGTTTAAACAGCTTGCCACACACACAAGAGCTCCAAGCAGGATCCACAGGCTGCTTTTAGAATGCGGAATTCCGTAGTTACATCAACCTTGGCAGGACATTTAGGGCTAGAGTTCCACGCCCTCCTGGCTGCTCACTTACAGTCATAAGTGTTTTTATGTCATAGAGTACAATGAAAAAAGTATTAGGGCTGCCACTAATGTCTATTTTGATTTTGATTAATCTATCGACTAATTTATCGATTAATCGATTAATCTAAACGATTAATTTCCCACAAAAAATCAACAATTTTACTTAAGAATATTTTATTAAACTATATTTTATTAAACCAAATGAAATCCAAATTTCTATGAATTCCCTTTTTTAAAGCAAATGTAAAGTGCATCCATCTCATAGTCCAAATCACTGAAATCAAAGTTCAGTATTATAGTGTAAGAATGACAACATATCCACGTGTTCTAGTCTACTACTAATAACATTATAATAAAAAACACTTTTTAAAGGAGTATTTACCATAAATGTTATTTACCAGAATTTATTTAGGAGAAACATGTAAATGTGCAGAATTGCTGAAAAAAAAAAATATATATATA